AAATATAAAAGTTATAAGAAAATGTGATTTTGCATAACCACGAAAAGATTAAGGAATTAGAGATTTTTATGCTACTATGATAACAATATCTTTGCAATTTTAATACTTGTATATTCATCTTATATATTCTGTAGATATCTAATTTAAATTTATTAATCTTTATTATAATAATAACTATTATTTTTTTGTTATTAGCAAGTTTAACTATTACTAATATTATTTTTTGTAACTTAACTTTATTTTTCTATATAAATTTCTTATCAATAAAGTTTTTAAATATATTACTATCTAGCAATATCTATATTAACTTGTCATTTACTTGGCTATTAAATTTTAATAATCTTTTTTTATTATCTTTAAGATAGATAAATTTAACTCTTTTATATAATTGTGAAAATTCTTCTTGCTTGTTTTTTATATTAGTAATCTTTATCTTTGATTTAGAATAATAATTCTTTATAAAGTAATCTGATTTATTATAGTTATAATATATATCTTTAAACTTATTATTTTTTTGATTATTATTATTTTTTTGATTATTATAATAACTTTCAACTTGATCTAATTTTATTGATATAGAGTTATTATTTTGATAATTTTTATGTTAATTCTGTAAGTGATGATTATTATTATTATATCTGCTTGATAGATCTAGAGATCTGTCTTGTTCATACATAATAATATTATATTTAATTACTAATTTTCAAGCTTTTTCTAAGATTTCTGATATCTAGTAACTTATTTTTATCTTTATAATAAATTTTAAATCTTCTATAAAGTATATAACTCAGTCTAAATCACTTATATTTGTGACTTGACCAACTATATTTCTGAATTTTATGTCATAATCTTGTATAGATCTGATTTAATAAAGAAGATAAAGTTATTTGTAAAGATATTATTGGTAATGAAATAATTAAAATACTTCTTCTAATACTATAATAAAGACTTTCTAATTCTTAAAAGAAGTAGTATTATTATTAGTCTTACATTTATTAAGATATCAGTATAATGTTGTATTAATAAAGAAAGTGACAGTATATTATACTTGAATTTTTTTATTTGTAATTTCTTAAGTCAGAAATATAGTTTTAACTTGCATTATCCAAATAAGTATATTTTTATTTGATTCTTCTAAGTAAGTAGATAATTTTACTAAAAGATAAGATAAGAGTTTAGAACTAGAGGAATCATTTTCTTTAACTATCTTGATCAATTCAGTTATGCTTTTTATGAATTGTATGAATTGTTTTATATTTATTTTGACAAGATATTATTTTACTAAAACTAAAATATATATAGTATATGTATAGTATGTGATTTGTAATATGTAAGGTATTAGAAAGCAATATTTATAATAACTATAACTATTGCTATCAAGTTGTAAGATTATTTTATTAATAGTTATAAACAAGATAAAATATAATATGAACAGTTTTAATTTTATAATTTATGATTATTTTTATTATTTAAAAATATTCAGATCTGAAAGGAAATTACAAAACAAACAAATCTTATTTATAATAAAAAAAATAAATACAAAAAGCAAATAAATTAATAATAAATCTATTTTTAAAATATATATAGATTTAACAAATTAATTAATTTAATTTACATTTTTGTAAAGCAACTAATTATAATCTAATAGTTAATAATATAATAAATAATAATATAAATAATAATATATGAGAATGAATAAAAAAGAAAAGAATTATTAAAAGAAATATCTAATTAAAAATATTAATAATCTAAATTAATAATATAGATATACATACATAGTGATTATTTGTATGATAATGTATTAAATTTAATATATTAAATGTATAATAATTATTTGTATATTCAGAATGAAATTGATCTTCTTAAAAATATAATACAAAGCTAATTCATAATACAAATAGCACAAATAAAGATCTAGACTAAAGGAAGATATAATTCAATTAAAATTTTACAAAAAATATAAAAATTAGATCAAAGAAGATTATACAAGAGTAATCTGATTAGATAAGTCAAAGTTTAATATTTTTAATTCAAATATATATAAGTATTATTAAAAAAGAAAGAGAGAACTTAAAATGTTTATATATTAAATCTATTATTAAACTTGATAATAGAGAAATAATAATATGAGATTGTTTTATTATTTAAGATATTGATAATTTTTGTAAGATTAATAACAGAATAAATAGCATATTATTATCAAAAAATTCTTTCAGAAGATCTTTTAAAAATTATAATTATATGCTAAATAATATCATTTTTTAATAGAATAATAATTTCAAGTATATTACCATTTAAATCTGTTAATAGTTTGCTGATAATAAAATTAAGATTCTTAATTAGCTATCATAATTTCTGGATCTTGATCTTATTAAACCTCTATAAAATATCATCAATCATCATTTATATCATTTTCTGAAATTGATTTTAGAGAGAGAAGATTTATGAAAGAAAATTCAGAATGTGTGAAATAATATTAATGTTAAGATATGTATTTGTCTTACCAAATCTATATTAAAAAGAATTTAAAGACTCATGATGGCTATACAAGATGATAATCTAAATTGAAAATAGTTAGTTTTTTAAAAAATTACAATTTTGACAGTTATTTACCAATTTTTTTATTTTGTTCAAAAAGAATAAATATAATGTAACATCAAAAATTGAATATATTTGGTGATTACAAAAATTTAATTAAATAAAATTATTTTGAATTTGCAACATTTTAAACTATAGGATTATATCATTTAATCATATTAATAATAATTGTGATACTTTTAATTATAGGGTGATACATTTATTTGAAAATTTTTATTCGAATATTGCATTATTTTTAATTGTTACTGTATATATAAACTAGTGAATATAATTTTTCGTATCAAATAATTGTTTCATATCATTTTTCTTTAACATGTTTTAATTATATTAAATTAAATAAAATACCAATGTATAATTCTATAAAAGGAAAATGGTCTGTATTCACGTAATCAAAATATCTTTCCCGGGGGGGGGGGGAAGCATCTATAATAAAATGATATTACATAATATATGTATATCACCGCTCTAATGAACGACATCCCGAACGAAATAAAAGGTATCCCGAGTGCACGAAATCCCGAAGTTTCGGGATTTTGATTAATCGGGATGCCATTCTTTCGATATTTCGTTTGTCGGGACTTGTGAATGTTCGGGATTGTGTTGTTCGGGATTTTGAACGTTACCTTTTGGGGGATATAAGTCGGGTGGACTTAATATTATAGGTTCTTGATAATCTTGGGATAGGGATATAAAAGCGATATAACTCATATAAAATAATTGTATACGTAATGAATATATTTTGATGAGTAATCAAAAGTCAAGTTCCGAACATTTGCACGTGATTTTTTTCGCCATGGCTAGGGTATTTGGATACATGTATGTTTAACTCATCGAATACTTTAGTACTTTAATTTAAAATATTTTTTTTGTTTTTCAAGGTGCTAATGGTTAGAACAAATCGAGTGAGGAATGAATGGGGACCGAATAGTTCAGTAATTATTGTTACCGATCAGTCGATAAATCGTAAATCGGTAACAGTAATATCGCATTTGGTAACGGTTTCACCGAAATTTATACATGTATTGTGGCAGATTAAAATGAAATCGGATTAAAATGAAATTGGGGTCTTTTTGAATCCTCTTTTAATGCCTCTGAAA